CTGCCTTTTCAATATTTCCTAGGATATTTCATTTTTCTGGGAGAGGGCTGGATGATAACTTCCCACACCTGTAAACTGCTTTGAGAGAGAGGGCTGTAAAGCACTCTGAACTGGTAGACTGCTTCAAGTGCTATTGCTAAATGCCATCTGAGGTCTCCCATAGGTACAAGGTGAGAAAAATCACTTTATATTATTCATTATTTGAGAGCTCAAAACATATGGGGTTTTGGAATGTGTTGTTCAATTGGCCAGCTTCATTTGAGTCATCAAGCATCTATAGAGCATGCTCAGCAACTATTCAATATACCTGGGATGGTGAACCTATGGCACACGTGCCACAGGTGGCAAGCCGAGCCATTTGTCAGGACACGCGAGGCATTGCCCTGTCAGCTGGCTAGCGCGCATGTGCACACTGGCCAGCTGAGTTTAGCCTTTTTTAAAGCCATTTTTTGCCCTCCCCAGGCTCCAGAGGCTTTATAGGAGCCTGTGGAGGGCGAAAACAGCTCCCCCCAAACTGGCCTATGGGCAAACCGTTCCCAAACATCCAGTTTGCCCGTAGGGCTGGTTTTTTGCGCTCTGGAGGCTTCAGGGAAGCTCCCGAAGCCAGGGAGGGCGGGGGAGGCTATTTTCGCTCTCCCCAGGCTCCTATAAAGTCTCTGGAGCCTGGGGAGGGCGAAAAAAGCATGCAAAAAATGGGGGGGGGTTGTCGCGCATGTCATGCATGCATGCCCTCTGGGGGTGGTGTCGCACATTGCATTATGGGTGCGGCACGCCCGCGCACGACCCCCCTGCGCTCCCAACGCTTATGGCACGCGAGCCAAAACAGGTTCGCCATCGCTGCAATATACCATATAAACGTTCAGAGTATCCCATAATATTGGTAGCATGATCTGTTAACGTCTAATTGCATATTCAGGAGGTGTGTTTCCCACATTGGTTTTTTTTTTTTTTTTTTTTTGGTTACTAAAGTTAAACTTTCGGGGCATTTCTCATGTCTGGAGTTTGAAGTGCTTATCAGAAATCAGAGTCTTGTTTTGTTGCTTCAAAGAAACTAGAGACATTAATCAAAGCTGCTCCTTCTTATTGGAAAAAGTCACAGGTAGTCCTCGACTTATGACCACAATGGAACCAAAATTTCCATTGCTAAACAAATCAGTTAAGTGAATTTTGCCCCATTTTACTTTTCCTGCCACAGTTATGTGAATCACTGCGGTTGTTAAGTTAGTAACAAGGTTTTTAAGTGAATCTGGCTTCCCCATTGACTTTGCGTGTCAAAAGGGGATCCCATTGGCCTGGGACACTGCAACTGCCATAAATACATGACAGTTGCCAAGTGACCAAATTTTGATCATGTGACCATAGGGATACTATAATGGTCATGTGAAAACAGTTGTAAGTCAACGTTGCAGTTTTGAACGGTCACTAAATAAATGTTGTAAGTCGAGGGCTACCTGCATTCAGAAAGACACCCTCCTGCCCCCATCAGTTTTATTTGCAGAAAAAAGTCTTAAATGACAAGCATATTCATATTCATACAACCATTTACAAGGACAGATTAGGCAAAACCTGGCTCAAAAACAGTAACTGCGAGATGGACCTTGGAGACCTAGTGGACAATCGCTTA